GCTGTCTTGTTCTAAACTAGCTCTTCGCTTGCGTTTAGTAACTTAACATTGTTATAAAGTACGCAGAAACGAAGGAGTCGAATTTCAAAGACACCATATGACCTGGAAGATAGTACTGTGCTCAAGTTTCATCTTGGTATCGCAGACGAGATCGCTCGCTGCCACTGCACTGTATGAGAATACAGCTGTCTGTCTTCACACACACAAAAAGCAAAACAGCTTGTATGACATGACATTCGTGCGAGTTTAGTCTTGGTGCCCTGGCATTCCGATCGCTGGCTCGTGTTGTGTGAGTAAATTGTGCTAATCTGTTTGACAAATATCGTCAAAGAAACAACGCCTACTTCATGATTTTTTTCCACTCTACATATAAATGTGTCTTTCTTCTTCTTCTGTTTTTTCTTCTTCTTTTTCTTCTTCTTTCCTTTTTTTTCTTTTTATTCTTCTTCTTCGTCTTCTTTTTCTTCGCATTCCTCTTCGTATTCTTCTTTTTCTTCACATAACGCCGTCTTATTTTAACCTTCGTATTACGATGTTATTATGTTCTTCAGATAACGCTGTGGGTTTTTTTTTTTTTTTAAGAAACGCTCTTTTTGTTTAAATTCTTCTTTATATAATACTGTTTCTCCATTCTTATAACGTTGTGTTTTTTTCCCCCATTCTTTTTGTAAAGCTGGTTTTTGCTCCATATTACTCCGACTTCTTGTCTGTTAATATACCGTTTTTTTTTTTTTTTTTTTTGTACGCTGTTCTTATTGTTGATAATGTTGTGTGTGTTTTTTTTTTTCCTTTACATAATATTGTTCCTTTTTTCATTTCACATACCACTGTTCTTGTTGTTTTCTTTATCTAACGCTGTTGTTGCTGTGTGTGTGTGTGTGTGTGTGTGTGTGTGTGTGTGTGTGTGTGTTTTTTTTTATAACGTTGTCGTTGCTGGGTGGGTTTTTTCTTTTCAAATAACACTGTTGCTGATGAGTGTGTGTCTTTTTTGTTTTTTATTTTATGCTGTTGTTGCTGGGTGGGTTTTTTTTTTTTTTTCCCTACATTTAACGCTGTTGTTGCTGGGTGGGGTTTTTTTTCCTTCATATAACGCTGTTTTATGGGTGTATTTTTTTCCCTTCATATAATGCTGTTGTTGCTGGGTGATTTTTTTTTTTCTTTATGTAACGCTGTTTTTACTGGGTGTATTTTTTTCCCTTCATATAATGCTGTTGTTGCTGGGTGTATTTTTTTCCCTTCATATAATGCTGTTGTTGCTGGGTGGTTTTTTTTTTCTTTCATGTAACGCTGTTGTTGCTGGGTGGTTTTTTCTTTTTTTTTTTTTTCGTTCATATAACGCTTTTGTTGCTGGGTGTATTTTGTTTTCCTTCATATAATGCTGTTGTTGCTGGGATTTTTTTTTCTTTATATAACGTTGTTGTTGCTGGGTCTTTTTTTTTTCGTTCATATAACGCTGTTGTTGCTGGGTGGTTTTTTTTTTTTTTTTTTTCTTATAACGCTGTTGTTGCTGGGTGGTTTTTTTTTTTCTTCTTATAACGCTGTTGTTTGCAGGGTGTGATATTTTTTCTTCATATAACGCTGTTGTTGCTGGTTTTTATTTTTTACTTTTTTTTCTTCAAAAAACGCTGCTGTTGCTGGGTGTGTTTTTTCTTCTTCATATAACGCTGTTGTTGCTGGGTGTGTGTGTTTTTTTTTTTCCTTCATATAACGCTGTTGTTGCTGGGTGTTTTTTCTTTCTTTTTTTTTTTCTTTATATAACGCTGTTGTTGCTGGGTGTTTTTTCTTTCTTTTTTTTTTCTTTATATAACGCTGTTGTTGCTGGGTGTTTTTTCTTTCTTTTGTTTTTTTTCTTTATATAACGCTGTTGTTGCTGGGTGTGTTGTTTTACTTCATATAACGCTGTTGTTGCTGGGTGTGTTGTTTTACTTCATACAACGCTGTTGTTGCTGGGTGTGTTAATTTTTTTTTTTTCATATAACGCTGTTGTTGCTGGGTGTGTGTGTGTGTGTGTTTTTGTTTTCTTTATGTAACACTGTTGTTGCTGGTTTTTTTTTTTTTTTTTTTTATTTCCTAATTTAGCGCTGTTGTTCTTGCGTTTGTTTTCTTTATTAAACGCTGTTGTGTGTGTATAGGTTTGTGTGTTTGTTGGCTTTTTTTTTTTTTTTTCTCTTTACACAACACTGTTATTTTTTTTTTCTCTTTATATAACAACGATGGGGAGAGGGGCGAAAAGGGGGGGGGGGCCGTGTAACGCTGTCTCTTCTCCCACCCACCCCATCTTTTTTTCTGTGGTTTGGAAAAAATAGTGAAACATTTTCACAATGCAATCCTCGAAGTTTACCAGGGTTCGATATCAGCGGTAGCAGGTTTAGAAAAAGACCGTTCTTCTGGGCTTTCAAACAATAGTTTCATAATGGGGATTCAGAACTTTGCTCACCTGAACAGACACCACAGAATACCGAACATCTGCTAGAGACATGCTCTCCACATCCGGTGAGCAGCGGTTCTCAATTGCGGATCGCAACCCTTATTTTGGTCGAACAACCCTCTCACGGGGGTCGGTTAAGACCATCGGAAAACACGTATTCAATAATGTTATGAAGCATTAACGAAAATATTTGTATGATTGTGGGTAGCCACAACAAGAGGAACTGTATTAAAGGGCCGCGGCGTTAGACAGGTTGAGAACCACTGAGGTAGAGAGATCCCAGGTTGGGTCGGTTAAGATTCTGATGAAAAGCAACTGAGTTTAACAGTGGAAGATATGCCTGACATCAGGAACTTCATAGAGGTCAGCGGCATTCTCGTGTTAAAACATCTAGCAACGAAAATGAGAAAAAGGAACAGTAGTACGACAGTCGCAACACGCAATACTCCCACATCTAGCAGTGGTACGACAGTCGCAACACGCAATACTCCCACAGTTATCAATGGTACGGAAGTCGCAACACGCAATACTCCCACAGTTATCAATGGTGCGGAAGTCGCAACACGCAATACTCCCACAGTTATCAATGGTACGGAAGTTGCAACACGCAATACTCCCACAGTTATCAATGGTGCGGAAGTCGCAACACGCAAAACTCCCACAGTTATCAATGGTACGGAAGTCGCAACACGCAAACTCCCACAGTTATCAATGGTACGGAAGTTGCAACACGCAATACTCCCACAGTTATCAATGGTACGGAAGTCGCAACACGCAATACTCCCACATTTATCAATGGTACGGAAGTTGCAACACGCAATACTCCAACAGTTATCAATGGTGCGGAAGTCGCAACACGCAATACTCCCACAGTTATCAATGGTGCGGAAGTCGCAACACGCAATGCTTCCACAGTTAGCAGTGAAATAATCAAGTAACAGAAAGTGTATTGATCGGCACTCATAGAAAGAAGTAGATAGATAGAAGAATACACTAGACAACATAAAAATCGAAAGCTATAGTTACCCCCCAAAAAACGTGTCTTATTGGCCATGTCTATCGTACAGCTTGAAATCCACAACTATGGAATACTGACAGAATTCATTTCAAACCATTTAAATGGAACCATAGGTTACAGAAGTTTATATTAACGAAGCAACTGTTGAATAACAATCACAGCAACATTTTACTAACACAGTAGACTTTAATGCTTTGTCTAGAATACACAAACATTTAAGAAAAGTATTTGATTGGTAGGTTCTGGTGTGTGTACGTCATTCCTATAAATAAACAGAGGGGGAACCTTTGAGGCCTTTAAATATTATGAATTAATCAAGTAACAGAAAGTGTAGCAGTGGTACGAATGTCGCAACACGCAATACTCCAACAGTTAGCAGTGGTAGGACAGTCACAACAAGCAATACTCCCACAGCTAGTATTGGATAAGCAGCCATTAAGGAGGCGCACACATTTTTTTTATAAATAGAAAGACAGTTTAAGTTTGTTTGTTGTTCCACCTTTAAAAAATAGGGACAAATTATTCAATCAACGCAAAGAATTATTTATTTCTGCATAACCTGTGAATTTTTTTAGTAAGCTTTCGTAATAAGTCACCCCAAAAAGACAGTATAATATTTCAGGGGGTGGAAGATAGGCTGGACGCAGTCGTGGGACCTAGGCTGCATGCAGTCCTGGGACCTAGGCTGCACTCTCTCGTGGGACGTAAGTGGGTTTGGGTTTGGTCCAGTTCTATATTTTTTCGAGTAGTAAAAAAGCACCACAGAGCCGAGAAACCCGGTCTTACCACCCTAAAATATATTGGACTGTCCCCCTGACGTCCTCTGGGGAGGGGGAGTGTGACATTTTTTTTAACAAAAGGACCTTTTTTTCGTTCTACACAAAATATCGGCGTGTGTGGCTTAGCATTATAAACGCCGTTTCGTAATTCCGACAGACCTGTTTTGCATTAGCATTGGATCATTTAATTACAGGCCGTTTTGCGTTGATTGCCAAAACGGTTTGATCACTGAAATGTTCAGAAAGCAATGGCGAACTGCGAAATGTAAAATTGCCTTGTATAACGACGAATAGCCAACAAATGGTTAGGCTGGGTTGCGACACGTTATATTCAATCACAGCCTGATGGCCCAGGGTGTAAAGGATCTTTTAACTTACTTGATTTAATATTATTTCTTTTTGCCACCGCGGGTATCCTAATTATTATTGTTATTGTTAATTATTTATGTTGTGTATGAGTTATGAGTTAAGATCCGACACCATAGCACGGAGCCTGCCTTTCTCCACCCTACTTAGCATTCTTCGTGAGTCTTTTCAATCTCTAAAACCCAAATACTGGTACCTTCAGAATTGGAACTCTGCTCCTGTTAATGAAGATGCGGACGGATCGCCCAGTGATATGATGTGTGTTCATAACCTATAACTCATATAACACTTGTTTACGTTCTGTGTTTCAGAAATCTTCACACACTACATCGGCAGATTTTGACATAACCCGTAGGACAAGGTTTTGGTTTGAAGATCGTTTCACGTCGGAATTACACTACTGGAGAAAATGTCAAACAGTTCTCTTCCTTACAGCAACGCGTCTCGGTGGACAAACTACAGCTCAAATTTCAGGGACAATTTCCAGTATTATTATATAGCCACTGTAACGGTGGATACAATCTTTACAGTCGCTGGTACACTGATCAACGTTTGGTTTTTGGCAGCCATGCTACTATCTCCAGAAATCCGCGCACGAATGCGTAACAAAATTATTTGTGGTGTGCTAGTTGTTAATCTAACAGAGTCTTTGATACTTTGCCCGATCACTGCAATTCGGGCAGCCTCGATGCTTATTGGGGTGTATCACAAATTTGACTGCTCTTTTCAAACAATTCACAACATTATCTACCATATTCAAGACTTTGTCGGCAACTGGTACATTTTAATTCTTCTTTGTGTTTATATGGTTCAGATAGTGAACTTTGAACCCAGATTCACCCCACTGTGGAAGACAATTTTAACTGGTGTTATTTTAATATCCCCACTAATATTTGCATTATTGTTTGTTCCGTTAACAATGAAAAGTTATTACCTTCGTTATTCTGATGACCGCTGTTTGATAACCACCTACCAGGCGATTAAAGTCTTCAAAGCTTTGGACACGATTGTTCCTCAAGCGTTGGCAAGCTTACTGTTGGTAGTGACTGCAGTGTTTAAGTACCGGCGATATCCACAAGAACACTCTTTTGACACTCTTCGAGCCCAGCTCATAGACGACAGATCTCAGATCGATCCCTTGAAACCTTTCATCGCTCTCCTTGTCACTGCGGTGGTGACTGATCTGCCCATGGTTGTTGCCTTCATGAGTCCACTGCTGTTTATTAGACTGGGATTTCATGTCTGGTAAGGCAAATATATTTCCTTTCCATGTTATTCGTGAGTGTGAGGCTGTGGGTGTCGGCGTCTGTGGCTTAAGCGTTGCGAATGCGCTTCGTAATGCCGGGGTGCCGGGTTCGATCCCTGCTGCGGACCGTTTGTCTTGCGCTGGTTTCGACAGTGGTACCGAGAGCCGACCGTCCAGAAAGCAATGGCAAACTACTGGACGTAAATTTGCCTAAGAAAAACCACAACATCCAGAAAGTGCTGGGATTGGTTCTGCAACGTCCTGCAAAGGATACGCAAAAAATTTTGAAAGGTTGTGGGTAGGCATGTCTGCCTGCAAACTTTGGCAAGGTCTCTTAACAATTTGGTATTTTGTGGGCCCTTGTTGAGAAGGGGGCGCCTAGGTGTTGGGAGAGAGGGTGAGGGGGTGGAGTCACGTGAAATACAATAAGTAAGATAACCAAATAAATGGCTGAATCAGTTAACTCTTTGAGTCCTAAGGAACGCATCATACGTTCATAGGTTCCTACATAGAAGCCCAATGAATGCATGATGCGCCGATGTAATGACTTTCTTTACTACCACCTGGGTCTGTGATGCTAAACACCCTGGGACTCAAAGAGTTAAGGGGGGAATTTCACATGAAACTTTAAAGTATACTAGGTAATCAAAGAAATGGAAATATTAGTATTTCTATCGACTACATCCCAAAGTAGGAACAGATAGCCTGGCTTAAGAAGAATTAGTGTGTACGTACATGTGTGGGTGTTTGTGTGTATATATGTGTATATGGATATATGTATACGAATTTTTTAATATGTTAATCTATTATGTATCTTACTCTTCCAGGGTCAGTTTGTATCTTGTCTTCGGAATTGTCACCTACCTACGTCTGATCATTGTACCCCTTGTGATGCTGCTGTTTCCAGACATCAGAGAACGAATCAAAACCTGGAGACCTTGCGGTCGATCTGCTCTCAGTGCAGATTTGGTTGTCACTTATGAGAAAAATACTTCTTGACTGTCAGTCAAAAATATCAACTACACAGCACCTTAATTGCCAATTGATTGAAATACAAATATAATCAGTGTTCATGTAAGTGCTGATGACGAGTCAACGAGACAGTAATAGTCAAAAGCTTGCTCTCAAACAAATAGCACTACTGGGGGGACATTTTGCGGTTCACAATTCTTTACGTATCAGACTTCTGTGAGAAGGGATGAATAAATAAAAAATGACGCTCCGGGAGGGGGGTGTAGTGGGTAAACAAGACAAAGAAAGAAAAAAGTTCTTGCGATTTGAGTTAATTTTTCTTTAGGACAGGGGCATGGGGATCTAACCGATGTCTGCCCCTCCCCCCACCTTTTTTTTCTTGCAGTATTAAATGTAATACACACTTTGTGGTCAGTACCAGCCTATTTTAAGACACTTTGTGGTGAGTACCAGCCTATTTTAAGACACTTTGTGGTGAGTACCAGCCTATTTTAAGACACTTTGTGGTGAGTACCAGCCTATTTTAAGACACTTTGTGGTGAGTACCGGCACGTTTCTCTGGGATTGTGGGGTATGGAGGGGGGGGGAAGAGGGTATTGGGCTTTATCCAATATTATCTGGGCGAGGCATCAGACTGTAATGAGAGGATTCTTCTAAGTAAAAGAAATGGTGGCGACAACTGGCGACCGAGTGGCGTAGTAGTTCGCCGATGGCTGAATCGGTCACTGGTTTAGGGGGGAGCTGTAAAGGAATCAACACTATAAGAGTCATCCTAAGGACATTTTGGTAGGTAGTCCTTTTTCATGCATACCTGGTGGCAAACAACATAGCAATGAATAGGGCGCAACCCAGACCATAAGTATAACCTTTACACTCCTGCGCAGCCTGGCTGCCAGTAATAAGTTCAGTTGCAACTACACCTGGAAACGGTGGTGACATATTTACTGGTATTCTGACTTAGGTGTCTCCGCAGCAAAGTGATTAAGCCATTTGGCTCGCCCTGTGCAGGTGGCGGGTTTGTTTCACAGCGGGGTTCTTCTGTTCGATTCGGGATCGTCACCGGAGTTCGTGTTTTGTGTCACGCTCTCAGCAGGCGGCTAGCCGCTCTGCAGAGAAAGAGAGAGAGAGAGAGAGAGAGAGAGAGAGAGAGAGAGTGAGAGAGAGAGAGAGAGACTGGCAGGCAATTGAAGTGGGAAAAAAACCAGAACCTATTGGTTAAAACCTAGTTCTTTTGTGTGTGCGTGGGTGTGTGTGTGTGTGTGTGTGTAGGTGTGTGTGGGTGTGTGTGTGTGCGTGGGTCTGGGATAGGGAGTTAGCCACCGTCTACCCAAGAATTCTTAAAAGGCTGAGCCCCCGCCCCCTCCCCCACACCCCCAGCAAAAAAGTGCGAGGGCGGTGATTAATCCCTCCTAACCACCGTAGATCAAAGTTCTCTTTTTCAGTGTTTGTTTATCAGTTTCATATTATTTTCGAATATATGACTATATGCATTTGCCATTCAGCCCATATTATCTTTACTATTATTATAATTGTGCATTTAAACAAGGCCTAAGTATCTTTGTCACACCCACTAGACAATTACAGTATAAGGGGAACTGCCCCTACCCAGTGTGCTTTCTTGGCGGCGGCGCGTTTATTTAGATGTTTCTGTTCAAACATTTCTTCTCTGTTGCCATCTAGTCTTTCTTACCTTTTGCAAACGTTCACCTGACAGTGCCACGGTTTGTCCAACGCTGTGCCCCCCCCCCCCCTTTTCCCCTCTTTCCAAACTCACTTTTCTCTTCCAGGTCGACGCAGCCTTAAATGTGTATCGTCCTTGGAAGGTAAAGGTGGTCGGCGTGATGTTGACCTCTTAATCTAAAGTTTAAGGTTAAAGTCGAGAGGGTCGACTTCATTGCACCGGGCTTATCCCGTTTAGCTCGGTCTCTTTGCGCAGAACAGCTAGCCACCTACCGAGAGCGTCACACTGCACGAACTCCGCAGCTTTAGCGACGATCCCCACGGATCTCCTTAAACTGGACTCGTAAACTAAACAATGCAGCCGCAAATCGAACCCATTACCTTCAGAGCGCGAGGCAAACGGCTTGACTACTGCGCCACGAAGACCACCTTACCTTCAACCTTTAACTGATTCCAAACGGGTGCCAATTGGTTTCTCAAAGACATTAAGGTCTAGCACCATCTGCTTTATGCTCCAAACACGTAAAAATAACTGTATTGTCACTGTTATTTATTTGAATTCCGATCAGTATGGTGAGTAGGAAGATTTACTGTTTTTTAGTCGTGATCGGTTTTTTTTTTCTTCCTTACTTTCTTACAATAGCTAGCTGTTGCATTTCCCTCCATATGTAGATCGAAAAAGATATAGCTTCGTCGCCCAGCTTCTGCGCTGAGTGCATGGTGCGATATAGCGAGCTGCGGATTTCATTTTGGAAAGCTTGTCTTCTATACCCAACGTGGTGTGTGTGTGTGTTTATTCAGAAAATGACGAGTGGCCTGCTGTCAGAGAACTTGTGGTGCCTTATCCTATTAACTGCATGTGCAACTGCCGATTTGTTGTCAGTGCTGCTTTCATGGACGATGAACGGCATTTATAGTGTCAGATTGTTTATGTCAGCACTCCTGACTGACGCCTTGTGCATTTACTGCACAAGTATGAATAGAAGGCATGGTACCCGGAAGGAGGGGCAGGGGCCGACCATCACGAAGATGGTCACAGGATATCAGTGGTGACTCCTTGAGTATGAAAGTACATGAGGCGGGAGAGCTGGCGAGAGACCGAGTATCTTTCAGGCAAACCGTGAGAGCGACGGTCTGCAAAGGACCTGCTACACGATGATGATGATGATGTATGATGTTGAATTTATTAAAACTGCAGCCTGTCTTGTGTTTTAAAAAAAATGTTACAAGGGAAAGCGATAAACATTTTGAATAGCTTTTCGTTGTCATAGGAACGGAGTAACGATGCAACTGCGATTGCACGAATAGGTAAAACGTTGTTTAAACCTAAATTTATGTTATCCGTCACAGCCTTTGAAAAATGCGTCAGTAGCAATAAACAGACATCTTTGTCCACGGATTATTTTCACACTTTACTGTATAAAGAAGGCACATAAAGCACAGATCCTACTGCCTTGTGGTACCCATATGGGACGTAATTTGCTTTGTTATTATAAAGCCTCACCCCGACTGTAGTTTGGGACCCTAATATAACCCAAAGGTTAAACGGGATTTCGGGGACGTGCCCAGGTGATTCTCATCCGAATGGTGGTACCTTGTGTCACCAGCTGTTTATCGCAAGTTCTATGGTCCTAGTTGGTTTGAAGCCCAACTCGCTAGCGTAGTTGGTTAAAGTTGACTTCGCGGCGACCTGGTGACCTACTCCGTGTGGTCCGGGTTCACGCCCGGGGGTAGGCAGAAAAGCCACATTTCTCCCAGATTTACAGTATCTGTTATGGAATCACGACCGAAGGGGTGCGGTATCCATAATACCGAGCCGAAGGGTTTACAACTCATGGTTTCTGGACACTTTAAAAAAAATGGGTTTGAACGTCACAGATTCTACTTCTTTGTAAGATACGGAAACGCCGCTACACAGAAAACCCGAGCATCAAAGACACAGAATGAGATGACAGTTTACACTGTACTTTAAAGTAAAGCAGGTTTATAGCAAACATGTCAAACATACAACCCGCAGGCCGCATAATAATTTGGTGAAAGTAACTTCGGTCTCCCCACGCCCCGCCCATATACACACTAGCTCACTTCTGATTGGTAGTTCCTGAACCTGTCACCTTAGCACAATGTTACGGGGGTGTTCCGCAATGCCGATGATATCGCGTGTTGTGTATTTCAGCACGTCAGTGCTTTTACCACTTCGTTTGTTTGTTTTAGTATCCAGAAGCCATGAGTTGTTAACCCTTAGGCTCGGTATTATGGATATCACAACCTTTCGGCCTTGATTCCATTGTAAATACCGTAAATCTGGGAGAAATGTGGCTTTTCTGTCTACCCCCGGGAGTGAACCCGGACTACAAGGAGTTCGTCACCCGCTCACCGCGTAATCCGGTTTAGCCAACTACGCTAGAGAGACGGGCTTACCACTTCAAAAACATGGGCAAACTGGTCCTAACACAACTCCCTAAAGAGTGCTGCAACCTATGTCACAGGCATTCTCTTTCTCGGAATAAAAACATGGTCAAACTGGTCCTAACACAACTCCCTAAGGAATGCTGCAACCTATGTCACAGGCATTCTCTTTCTCAGAATAAAAACGTAAATGCAAGACATTACAGAAAGCAAACAACAAAGCGGGTCACACCCGTAACGTTCAGTAAACTCGACTAGCCCAACGAACTTGTGAATGAAAATTGATTTACTCTATTTTGGGAGATTGACGTGAAACTAAACAATAATTTTTTTTAAATGACCTCAATTAGTTGTGTGTGGTCCTCACTAACCGTCAATTTGGCACACCTAGTTATGCTATTACAATACATTCTTATACATTACTATTCTTCTGTTAACGTTACGAGGGGTAACCAGGAAGTTACCAGGGAATCTGGCCGACGCTCAACACTCAGGGAAAGGATGAGACGGATATACAATCAGACGATTACTGGTACCGTCGGAATAGGAACTCTTCGCCTGCTGCTTGAGATGGGAACTGAGCATTTATTGGAGTGTCCTGAGTGCTGTGATGTCGATTCTTAATTTAACATTCTTCTATTAAAGTTTACACTGATCGTTTTGTTAAATGAAACATAATATGTATGTACTGTCGGCGTCTGGCCTAGGCGTTGCGCACGCGCTTCATAATGCCAGGTTCGATCCCAGCTGCAGACCTGGTTTCCACAGTGGTATCGAGAAGCCGACCGTCCAGAAAGCAATGACAAACTACTGGACGTAAATTTGTCTAGAAAAACCACAACAGCCAATGCTGGGGTTGGTTCTGCAACGTCATTCATGTAAAAGGTGTATGTATTATTGATCTCTAATGATTTGATTTTAACGTTTATCACAGCCTG